AAGTGGAGTTGCATGCCTTTTGCGATGCGTCTGAAATGGGATACGGAGCCCACCGGGAACCCCTAAGACTTTGGGCTCCGGGGGAAGTATGGTTGCAGTACGTCGGGTGATAGGTAAATGCCTGCGGTGCAAACGTGATTCCATGCGTCCTGGATTTCAGTTGATGGCTCCGCTACCCAAAGAACGTGCCCGTATAAAAGGACACGCGTTCGCTCNATCTTTAGTGACAACGGAAGTAATTTCAGAGGCGCGTATGCCGAGTTACGACAGTGTATTCAAGGTATGTCCCAAGCCAAGATTCAACACTTCCTAGCCAATCGCGAAATACGTTGACATTTTGGACCATCTAACGCCAGTCACTGGGGGGCGTTTGGGAAAGAATGATTAGAACTGACTTAACCAGCTTTGCCGGACTTTCCTTGGTATTCGCATGTGTTGCGTTCCAGTATTGCAGTAGGAAGTTGTCCAGAAACGCCTCCAAGTCCGCAAGTGATTTCGGATTCGCGGATGCCAGTGCACTCTTTACTGTTTTCAGAAGATTCTCAGCCTGACCATCAGAAAAGGGATGTTTTGGGGCTGTACGTAAATGTCGACATTCAATGCTATCGAGCCAAGCTTTCATCTCCGTGGCATTGAATTGAGATCAATTGTATGTGACGAGCACTTGCGGTATACATTCCCGACTGAAGCACTTCCAAATAGCCTGGATCACGAAGGATGTTGTTGGCATACTTGTCAGAAATATTTCCGGCCACTTTGAGTAAGAATTAATGAGAACTAAGGCATAGTATCCATTCAGAAATGGGCCGCAGATGTCCGCATGTACCCGTTGCCATGGTGCATAACTTTCTGGCCTCGGAGTCCAGTTTTTCGGGTTCGCCTTTACTTTGTGCAGACACGCCTCGCAATTCTTCGCAGTTGTGCAAACGTCTGCATCCAAATCAGACCACCAACACATTTGTCGAGCCAGAGATTTCATCTTCTCCACTCCCAAATGGCCTTTGTGGAGGTCCTCTAAGACTGCTTTTCTTATCAGTCGATCACCGCGGCGGAGCACACTGTCTAGCTGTACAGCCAACTCCTCCCGATGGATGTAGAACTGAGGATGTCTCTGCTTTATAACAGGCGGCCATCCTTTCGATATGGCTGAAATAATCATTGAGTAGTATTGTTTTGTATATCTTCTCAACGCTTCCCTGGAAACTGGTGATGGTTGGGCGACAAAATGACATTTCTCTGCGGCGCCAAAGTGTGAGTACCTGGATAGGAAGTTCGCCTGGCCGATGTATTTTATCATACTCGTACGCTGCCAGTCCAATACTCCATCGTTGAATCATGGAGGCTGTGGCTTTAGCGATAGACTTGTTGGGGTTGAGTAAGAATTGTAGAGCCTGATGATCTGTCAAAATGGTAAATTGCAGTCCAAACAAATACTTGTGCAATCTGCGGACAGCCCATAACACCGCCAGGGCTTCTTTCTGGGTCTGCGAGTACCCCTTTTCCGCATGGTTAAGTAATCGGGAAATACAAATAACATGAAGCCCTTCTTGCTCCAACACGGCACCAATGCTCACCTCGGACGCAACTGTCACCAGTTTAATCCATTTTGATGGGGAAATGATGCCAGGAGTGGACGTTCAGTGATGTTCCGTACCAATTCGTGAAAGGTTCTTCGTATTCCACGGTCCATTTCCAGTCTGCTGCGGATTGCGCGACAAACAACGGTTGGGCCCTGGTGGCGAAATTAGGAATAAATCGTGAATAATACTGAAGGCATCCCATAATTGATCGTGGATGATTTTGATCTTTCGGGGATTCGATATTCACCAGAGGTTTGAATCGCTTGGGATCCGGTCGATATCCTTTAGAACAGACGGTGAATCCCAGGAACTCCAATTCCATCATTCTAAACATGCACTTAGATGGTCTGATGCGTAACTTTTTCTCTATGAATCGTTCAAGAAGTTTCTTTGAATTGTTATCATGTGCTTCTTTCGTTGTTCCAAACACAATCACATCGTCTTGATGTGCCATAACACCGTGTAACCCAGACACATCATTGTCTATTGTAGACTGAAAGATTCCGGATGTTACGTGCAAACTGAACGGGAGAAAATTGTACTGAAACAATCCCCACGGTGAATTGATCGTCGTAAATGCCCGCGAATTTGGATGTAATGGAATTTGAAGATAGGCATCTGCCAGATCGATTTTGGAGAAAAACTGACAACCGTGTAAGGATTTCATGGAGTCCTCTTTCTCCATGGTCGTCGCTGCACATTTTCGCAATCGAGGATTGATTGACTTCTTCTTGACAGCACGGTGCACTCATCATATTGCATTTCCTTTGCCAGCATACTTCTGAATATGGCTAACTTTACCACAGGAATGACCCTTTGCATCTCGGAATCGACAGTTGGAACGCAAACGGAATTGACCGCACGACATACACCAATTGATATTTGTGGTTGGGGTCCTCTGGTCAGAGTAATTGGTCGTCTGATTATGAGGAGATTTGGACTGCATCCCGGGTCTATTGCTTCGTGAACTACTATCGAATAACGTAGACGACTCACGGGTTGTTGCTGCACTAAGATCAACATGCTGCTCACATATCACACATATCCTCCGAATATCGGAAAATGTTAGATCCTTTTTTTCAGCAACTTTCTCTGAAGATTCACATTGTTAATGCCTACAAAAAGGCGATCACACAATTGCTCCTCCAGTCTGTTTTCATAATTACACTTGGAAGCCTGTTTGTTGAGCAACAGGATGAAATCTCGACAGAACATTGACTCTGCACGAACCAACAAATTGAATTGTGCCATCTCATCAGCTTGGAAATCAACAAGAATCAAGTGGGAAAGAAGCAATCGTTTCACTATCGGGAATGGTAGCTTGACCGGATTGTCGGGGAAAGCGAAATTCTTCAGCAAAAAATACATTTCTTCTCCACCAACCGTGAGAAATAGTGTGGATTGATCCTGTTTTCCGTTCTGCCTTAGGCTGCACCAGAGCTGGAAACGTTCGATCCATTCTTCAATCTCAGACAGATGTGAATGCAGTTTCAGGGATTCGATAGTGCGCAAATCCATGTTGCGACGCCAATTGTAGTATTCGGAATATGAATCGAAATCGAATAGCGCGAACTCGGTATCGGACTGAAAACCCACTGAATAGCGCAAAGCCGGGTATAACCAAGACGAGCTGTGGATATAGTTAAGTCTATTAGGAAAATCATGGAAATATAACAAGCAACAAACAATCATTGGTCGATTCTTGAATGTCCAATCGACAAGGATATGGTTTAGCTGTTTGTCTTCTTGCACTGAGCCCATCCAGATGATGTCAATTGAGACCACAGGGTTGGTCGGTTATCCCGTTTCTTGATTGGTTACCTGGAAGCTGTACCGCGGTGCGTGCGTACTCCTTATTCGTTGAGCACAGTGGCCCCCAAAAAAGAACAATTCTTTTTCTCTCTAGCGCTTTGCTGGTATGGGCCTCAAGCCTATGCAAGGAGTTTCTCAGGCTGGTGGTGATTTCGGATAGCTTCGCAATGGCTGCCTCGTGAGCGTCCATGCGCGCCTCAAGTGCCTGTTTATCTGGTGACAAATGATATTTGGTAGCCTTGTTGGTTCCTTGCCTGTTTCCTGCGGCCTGCATGCTAATCTCTGTGGTTGCCGATTTAGCAACGCGTGCCCTAGGGCTGGAATTGACCCCTTGGCTTAGGGGTGCCACTGGAGTGTTTTGTTGTTCATCTCGCTCAGGCTTCCCCACCAAAATCCTTTCCCGCTCGTTGACTACTCCTGACTGGTTTCCGTCCCCAGGCATCACAATCTCTAGCTCGGTCTCATCTCTGTTTATCTTCCTACTCGGGATCGAGTTACATGGATGAGCTTTTATTGCCAACAGTGAAGGAGAGTATCCTTTCGGTAACATTGTTTTCGCCCTGAGTATTCCGATAGATTTGGTGCAGTTTGGACAAACTCATTTCAGAAACTTGTGGACAGCATAGTGTTCAACTGCCTTGGAAGTTAGGTTACTGCGCCGTTAGTGAAACCAATTCTGGCACAGATCACAACGTATGCCCTCAACCACCTCGAGAGAACACCCCCTTCTGACACACGGGTAGGG